TAGTTGCGCGGAATGTCTTCCGTCGATTTGAGATAAACAAATGTTCGGATGTATGTAGTCGATTTTTTATGTGCATTGGCAAGCCTTTTCGTGGCCAATAGTCAGGTTCAACGCTGCGACTCAACGAATGATGTAACTAATGATATGACGAATGATGGGACGCCTCGTGGAGGTTCTACTGGGCTTCGGAACAGCTTCTCAGCGGCAAATAATAGGGATCTAAGATGAGGAACTAGAAATTGTCTCCTGGGCCTGGTTATGGCCAGATCAGCAACCGATTAAAGATAAAAAACTCTACGAAAAAAAACAAACGTCAGGTTCGAACACACGCACAGCCTACTCTCTTCGTCGCTCGATTTCCTTATGGTTGAATTCGTCATCAACTAATGAACATCCATATGACTGTCCTCCAAATAAAGGATGATATTTATTTGAAAATTGGCTGTTTAACATACAGGGCTCAGTGGACAACAATTTAAGGATAGGATGACTTGCAAATGCTTTAGATTAGATTATTAATTCGATTTTTCACATTTCCATATTGAATAGCCATTAACAACCATTCAGCATGAATACAAAAATCACTCGTTGGTGTTGGTAGAGGAAACTTCCTCCACCACGAAATAGACAATTTACGGTTTCCACGCTTCACCAATAATCGTACCAGCTCTGATAGCGATGGCTATGCTTCCACCTCGTTTGACTACTGAGAGCAGCAAATAGCGTTCGATAGAATTATTTACATCATCGATTTGAATGATTTGCGTTAAGGGGCTGAACCAATACCAAATACATTTTAATTTAAGATGGCGCATTCCACCTGAAGGCCCTATCCCTTTTTATAACAATGTTCATCCTGTATCCATTAGACTGATGCAAAATTTGAAATTTAAACTCACCTCCCAAAATTTAAACTTATTTGGTCAGAAACTGACTTGGCACAAACTATTCGAAGTTTATATGGAAATTACTATGGGAAAACCAAACCTTTTGCTCATTGTCTTCTAACCATTTTCGATATTGCTTTTTCGAAAATTTCTTTAACTATTCTTACGGAAAATTTTCTAAGCTACAACTTTGCACAAAAGCGTTTTTCAGCCAAATGTTTAATTAAATTGTTATTAATTGTTTAAGAGATTGATAATCTTATGGCATGATCAAGCAGCTGTTCTGTGGGCAACACTGTATCATAGAGGTAACTCTAAGACAAGTAGGTCCCGAAGAAACGTGCTCAACTTTTTGGCTCACCTCTGGTACTATCTTCGGTCCCAAGCTTGTCGAATCACCCCTCGAAACATAGGAAAAACCAATAACCCCTCATTTTATCTGTCAAACTTTCATAGCGAATCAAAACAAACATTGCGTAGTACTAGAATTTTGACTAGAATAGGGTACGTTAATCGTTTGCTTGGGAGCAATAGGCTACTAAAGTGGTGAGCCAATTTAAAATCGTTAGTTTCGTATTGATTGTTGACTGTATTCTGTAGTGTGCCATAGTAGCCATGATATTTGTGCTCTATTCTTCGCATCAGAAACACCAATGTTGCCTGCTGAACAGTTAAATGAGCATAATCATAAGACATAACTTATGTTCCTTACATTTGATTAAAAAGTGGTTTTCAACAAAGTTGTAGCTGAGAAAATTTGCTACTATCATTGCTATCATTTTTAAAAGCATAGCAATGTGGTGAATTGTTATATCGATATGAACAAAAATATAAGTTTTCCCATAGTAATTCCCATATAAACTTGAAATGGTTTGTGCCAAGTCAGTTTCTTACTAAAGTAGTTAAAATTTTGGGAGGCTAAGCAGGACCCAATTTGGAACTGTTGAAGCACTGTGGAGCAAAAATTTCAAATTTTGCATCAGTCTAGTATCCATGTAGAGGAAAATCATCTGATTTCAAAACAACTGTCATCCGTCATCATGTTTCGATTTTAATGGTCTGAGGTTTTATTCGAACAGAGGACGGTGGTTTGGTACAGTGTAACTCCGAAGTAATAGTGAAGTGTATGCCTTTATCATTTAACAGTTGTTTTGATTGTATAGCCATACATATGGTTGTATTGAATGTGTCCATAATTTTCTGAACCATCGTAACATAAACATCGATGTGAATTTCACATAACTTTCGTGTGATCCCATGATTGGAAATTGCACCACTAAATCACATGAACGTTATGTGTCCAATGAAATCTATATGATTTCTCATGTAGAATTTCTTATGCTATGTGATATTCAGATAACAATCATTATTTTTTTTATTGGAAAAATATTATGTGCGTTCCTAATAGTAACTAAGTGAAAACTTTTTTCAGTGTAGGTAAAACCGTCAAGAGCTGAAATGTCTCAGTTTTCGTTGTGCCTTCTTTTTAAAACTTTTCTGTAAGCTGTTCAATTTCATTAAAATTGTTTTGTTATCATCTAAGTTAGCTTTTGCATTAATTGGAAAGATGTGCTTTCTAATTATTTGATTAATTTCATGATATTTATGCACAGCATAATTTACAGAACTCATTTTGTTTCGTCCAGGATAAGTATGACCCTACGTTGTGTTCTTCTTGCGGCTCGGATTGACACACCGGTTAAATGAAAACACTGTTTTCCTATGCCCCGAGAGGCAACTTGCCTGCTCGGGGACTCAAAACGAACTAGCTATCTTTTATTTAATATTCTTTGGTTTAAATACAAAGTCATCACAATACATAATATCAATCACATCCAAAACTAATTACAATTAGAACAATAACAAAAAATAACCAAAACAAAAACATCCATGGCTCTAGTGCGAATAGCGATGGCTGCACCATACTGAAATTCGCATTGAACTGGTCGTTACCATGTCACTGGGAGGCATTTACTATTACAACATTCTAGATTTGAATGTAGTAGAGCCCGGTGCCGATGGTACGTTCGAACACATTTTTTTTAAATCAATTGGTGAAGTCAAAATACTAGATATAGATTTGTTGAAAAGTTCAATGTTAAAGTCAATTGTTTCTGCCGATGTTATTGATGGTACAGTTGCTAAGGATTCTTGATTTGGAACATTCATGTTGATATCTTGTTCATTGCAGTTCGATAACTCATCGCTACTTGATAGTTCGGTACGTTTAGAAAGCTGTATACAAAAAAAATCACTCTGCATTTGTTTCATACAAAAAATTTAATGGCAACTCGGATCGGACGCGTTGCGGCAAAGTGACAGCTAAATCTTTTGTCTAAAGGGTGATACGGTCAAAATTTGGTCAAGGGAAAACGCGTGTAAATCGGTGAAATCTTTTATTTAAAAAATCAAATTAAAGTTCAATTAGTATAAAATTCAGGAAAAATATTCAGTTAGGCTTCCGCTTTTCCAAATCCGAATTGCCGGGCCTTACGCTTGACCCCTGCCATCAGATTTTGTACAGCCACCTTGTCCACCTTCTTCGCCGCAGAAAGCCAGTTTGCCTTGAACTGCTGCTCGCCCTTAGCAGTTTTTTGGTCTTCTTTAGGTTCCGCTTGACAATAGCCCAGTATTTTTCAATTGGGCGGAGCTCTGGCGTGTTGGGAGGGTTCTTGTCCTTGGGAACCACCTGCACGTTGTTGGCGGCGTACCACTCCATGGCCTTTTTACCGTAATGGCAAGATGCCAAATCCGGCCAAAACAGTACGGAACAACCGTGTTTCTTCAGGAAAGGCAGCAGACGTTTATTCAAACACTCTTTCACGTAAATTTCTTGGTTGACAGTCCCGGAAGCTATGAAAATGCTGCTTTTCAAGCCACAGGTACAGATGGCTTGCCAAACCAGATATTTCTTTGCGAACTTTGACAGTTTCATGTGCTTGAAAACATCTGCTACCTTTCCCCTTCCTTTTGCCGTATAAAACTCCTGTCCCGGAAGCTGCTTGTAGTCGGCTTTGACGTAGGTTTCGACGTCCATTACCACGCAGTCAAACTTCGTCAGCATCGTCGTGTACAGCCTCCGGGATCGCGCTTTGGCCGTCGTATTTTGTTTATCATCGCGATTTGGAGTCACTACCTTCTTGTAAGTCGATAGTCCGGCTCGTTTTTTGGCTCGATGCACGGTTGTAGACGATACACCCAGCTTATTTGCGGCATCTCGGAGAGAGAGGTTAGGGTTTCGCTTGAAACTACCGGCAACTCTCTTTGTCGTCTCAGCGGCTTCCGGTTTTCGATTTCCCCCCGATCCAGACTTCCTGGCTGTCGACAAACGTTCCCCAAACACTTTAATTACATTTGTAACGGTTGATTTGGCAACTTTTAGCGATTTTGCCAACTTTACGTGCGAGTAGCTCGGATTTTCGCGATGCGCGAGCAAAATTTTGATACGCTGCTCTTCTTGCTTGGACGGCATTTTGACAACTGAAGAGTGAATTCCAAAATCAAAATAGGAGCAACATTCTACACACACACACCTTCAAAATGAGGGGTGTTCAGGTTTTTTAAATGCAAAATTGAAAGAAATACGTCAAGTTGATATTGACCAAATTTTGACCGTATCACCCTTTAACTGTCAAATTTACGACAACGCAACGCAAACGGATCTAATGTGGGTGGCCCTTTACAATGGCCTGCAGCGTACAACCTATTTTTTTCCAGAATGCATATTTTCGTAAACAAACTTTGTTCGAAAAATAAGCTACATATAAATTAAAAAAATAGTTTAAAAACCTTCTGACGACCACAGTACAAAATCTGTTCATGTCACGAAACATTGCAAATTATGCATACTTTCAATACAAATCTGTAATAGAATCTTACCTTTCCCGGTTGGGGTTGGCATTTTAGTTAATAAGTGCGAAATTGGTCTCCTTCAAACAGTTATTTTAAATACATTTCATAATGCAAAAAAGGATTGCACATAGTTGCCCCATAACAATTCAAATTATTTTTTTCCGTTTGAATACACTCCATAGCGACAAACAAAACTTAAAGCAAACTTGCATGCAACTCTTTCATGTTAATTGATCGAATTCCTTTTCTTATTTTTTCCAGATTCATCAACAGCTATAATACGCTCTCTAACAGGTGCACTTTTTTAACTTTATACTCATGTTGACTGCATTGTTGTTTGTTTCGTCCAATTATTTATTTCCTTATAAATTTTCATGATTCCACATTAGTCATTAGAATCACATTTATTGAATCGAACATAGTCTCAACGCGATCATCGTTTTCAGAGATGAAATCATCACCAAGAGCAAGTACCTGGAGGAGGAAGAAGCCAAGCGAAAAGCCGAAGTTGAAGCTGAACAGTCCGGTCTGATCGGTGGAAACAGTAATAGCGGCAGCAGCAGCAGCAGCAGCCTCGATTCCAGTTCCGGTGACAGCAACAATGGCGGCAGTGGAAGCATCACCAGTAGCAACAGCGGCAGCAATAACAACAACAATAACAACAACAACAACAACAACGGAGATGGCGATGAGTTGCTTCAGCAGGATCAGGAAGATCCGGATGACGATAGTTCCGCTCAAGATGATGACGTCTTCTACGACAGCGATGGTGGCGAGAAAGAGGAGGAGAATTGCAAGCCCTGCCCAGTGGTGAAACCGACGTTCCTCTGCGGAAGCGATAATCGGACGTATTCTTCGCTGTGCCGAATGGAGTACCATAACTGTATTCACGGTAGCTTGATCAAGATGAACTGCAAGGGATTCTGTCCGTGCAAAGGTGAGTGTTTCTCGGTTATTTCACAATTAGAAAATTTTGGCTTCCTTCGAACATGCAGCTCCAAATATTGTTAAGCCGTGCAATTACAACTCATAATATCGCTATTACACAGCTTTTCCGGAAAATTGAAGAAAATGTGCTCTCCCGAAAGTTTGTCTCCCGTCGCAGGCACATTCCGAAGTAAAGCAACATATTTCCCTGTGCACAAAACACATCCCTTGTAAAACAACTTCCCTTGGAAGATAAAACTCTGTTAATACTTTACACCTAGCTGAACAAAACGTGCTTACCTACGCGTAACGAAAGAACGAACAGTCTCCACGGTTGCTTACCCCCAACAACAACAATAGTAAACACTAGAACTGAAACTAAAGTGGAAAAATGCGCATTCATACATACTGAAGCACTTTTTCCGGTTCGCATCCACTTCCTACCCCTCGTCATCTTTCAGTCTGCTGCGGTAGCGGAAATTAAAATTGTTCCCAACTCATTTTGCTTCCACTTCAAGGCACATCGGCCGACTCTTGAGAGCTACGGTGGAAGTCGAAATTTAAAGCTGCCGGTCGGAAGCCCACGGCGGAATTACTTACTAGTACCTACTACATTACTTAAGCTTTTTTATCGCTCTTTGTTTCTCACGGATGCGCCTTCGTCATCGTTGTCATCTTTCCGTGTTTTCTGGGAAAGCTGAAAAAGGGGTCTCCACAAGGACTGCGACCGACGACGACGACGACGACGCGACATAAACATGTGAACATGGCTGGGCTTTGTGAATAAACGTAATTTATATTGCTGTGTGCAGTCTTTCTTTTTTCTCCTCGTACTCAACCAGACTGTACGCTCGTGTGAGATTGCAGAAACAGCTTAGCTTTGGAAGATATGGCTTCTTGAGTAGTCCACCTACTTAAACACCCAACTCTTTTTTTACGCGGGTACATTTGTCCAATTTTCTTTTTCTGTAGGTACAATATTTTTCTTGGATTTTTATTCTGATTTTTTGAACACCAGTTACATCAAGCTTCGTTTTATTTGAACATCGGAAAAAAAGGAAAATAAGACCGCGTATAAAAAGGGTTGGGTGTACTTGCGAAACGAATCGGTTGGGTTTTCCAAGAAAGTATAATTGCAATGAATTTCAAATATAACGCTCGAAAGGCAAACGGAGCAAGATGAAGGAAAGTCTTTTGATTAACCTCCCAAGGAATAAATCATTTTAATTATATTGGAATAATAAGGATTCCGATTGATATGCAATATTTTCAGAATCCCTTAATGAAATGCTTCACATCTGAAGTGGGATTTGCAGAATGACAAGGTCTATCAGCAGTCTGTGATATGATTGAACTTCTGTTTAATACTCTGAACACGATACCTCCGGTAAAATGTGTAACGGCAAATTGGCAGTGTTTGAAGAACTATTGCTCAACAATTTATCAATTGATTTGTAATATATTGATATCGAATAAATCTTTAAAGTATGTGTTACGGCGACGGTTCCGTTTCCGACCCTTAAAAGCAAACTCGGTTTTGCTGTTAGAGTAAGCTTTAAGCTGAAATTAGTTTTATTAGATATAAATTCATGTTGCATGATGTAGTTTTTAGGTTACTTACTTTTCTAGTCTTTTACGTTCACTGTCCGTCTGCTTGTAACAAGTGTGTTTTTGTTTGTACAAATCGTGTCGCTGTGAACTACTCGCTGTGTTTTACAATTAGTATTCGTTTTAATTATAAGAGAAATTAGGTTTACTTACGACAAATTAGAACTAAATTCTAGGATAATAAATTGGACAACGCGTTTGAAGAATGTGTACTTTTAAGATAATGGTAATTTTCAATACAGTATGACCATAGAGGTAACTCTAGGACTAGAAGGTCCCGAATAAACGTGCTCAACTTTTTGGCTCAGCTCTGGTACTATCTTCGGTCCCAACCTAATCGATGCACCCCTCGAAACATAGGAAAATCCACGAACCCCTCATTTTATCTAGTAATGAGCCAATTTAAAATCGTTAGTTTTCGCCGGTTGATATGACAGTCGAGTCACGCTGACAGTCCTATCTGGCATTTTCAATGACACTTAGCTGGACAGCTATGCTGCACTGTTTACCGGATTGGATGTGAGAGGGACTCGTAGATAGGTCGATTAACCTGTTCACTCCCGTTGCTCGATCGCTGACCGATTGCCGTTCGTAATTTTCCCCTACCCGTATTGCTCTGAGTCCTTTCCTGCTGTACCACCAACTTCCAGAACCACCAGCTTCGTCACCAGTCTTTTCAGCACTTCTGTAACGGTCTTTATCTCTGCGCTTCGTATTCGCCCATCACGACCCGGGAATACCCGTAGCACTCGACCCCTTAGCCATCCATTGCGTAGACCATCCTCCGTCACAACTACCAGGTCACCAGGCTGGATTGGTTTGCAATCGGTAAACCACTTTGTTCGTTTCGTGATCGTTGGGAGGTATTAATGAACCCAACGACTCCAAAACTGGTCCAGCAGGTGCTGGTATATGTTCCAGTTGGTGTACGATACCACCTTTTCGTATAGTGGTTCCCTGGTCGGTTGGTTTACCCCACTGGTGCTCAGCATCAAGAAGCAGTTCGGTGTCAATGCTTCATGAGCTTCTGAATCGATTGACATGTACGTAAGTGGTCTTGAGTTAACCATTGACTCCGCCTCGATCAGCAGCGTACTTAGGGTTTCTTCGTTTGGCTTCCGAATGGTGGAGAGTGAAGCCAGCGCAGACTTAACGGACCGAACCATGCGTTCCCAAGACCCCCCCCCCCCCCATGTGGGGTGCAGATGGTGGATTAAAATACCACTGAGTTTCCGCGTTGGTGAATGTAACCGCTAACTTCTGATCGATTTGGCGCAGCTCTTGTTTCAGCTCACGATTGGCCCCCACAAAATTTGTACCTCGATCGCTATATATTACAGCTGGAGCACCCCTCCGTGCAATAATCCGAAGTAGTTTATCCCAACGTAGCTGAAAGGACGGGTGTGAGTAGTTGTTCGTGCTAAAGGAAGTGGAGCCATTCTAGGAACCATGGGAGATCTTCCACCATTGGCAGAGCTTTTTAACCTTCTTAAACGCAACTCGCAGCTTTGACACATAGAACTTCTGCCGCATCTCATTCACAGCCGTTTCCATGTTGTAGTGCTTGTTTTGACGATGGTACCAGTTCACTAATAGCTGCGTCCCGTAGTGGTCTTTGGGAAGAATGAAAGGAAACTTACAGATAGTCCATTCCGCCTTCCGTAGTTCTTCCCGGTTTAACCACACAGATGTTTCCGTAGACTTCCGCTGCATTTTACGACAGCTGTTATCGATGAACCTGTGTACATACGCTACTGCACGTACCAAGCGCTCCCACTTCGAGTATCTGCCAAATTCCACTATCTGTTGCATATCGAGATGACAATGAAGGTGTGTCACGCGAAGATCCTCTGTCACTCCATTCACACATGGGTCTTGCTGCGGCCAGGCATCCAGATTTTGATACAGGTATGCTGGAGCTTGGAACCATCTACTGCTGCTGCTGATATTTGGGCCCTTACCCCATTTGGTAGCTTCGTCAGCCACATTCCAGCGAGAAGGGACCCAATGCCACTCGTCGATCTGCGTCAACTCGAGAATTTCCGTTACCCGAAAAGCGACGAACTGCCTGTTCTTTCTTTGCTGCGACCGTAGCCTCGAGCGCAGGGTGCTAGAGTCGCTCCAGAACACCCTGCGAACTATCGGTAACGTATGTTTTTCGTCTACTGATTTGGACAATCTTGCACCGAGTATAGCTGCCTGCAATTCTAATCTAGGTATTGACAGTGGTTTCAAAGGAGCCACTTTCGTCTTTGCCGAGACAAGTGAACAGCGAACTCCTGACTCCTCTTCGATTCGAAAGTACGCCACGGCAGCGTAGGATTCCTCGCTAGCGTCTACAAATATGTGCAGCTCCAACGAACGGTAACATTCAGGAGTATATCCAGGAAAGTAACAGCGTGGGAATTGAATGTGCTCGAGCTGCTCCAATAACTTAGTCCATCGCCTCCATGCATCGAGTAGCTCATTTGGGATAGAATGATCCCAGTCCGTCTTGCACCGCCAGATGTTTTGTATTAGCACTTTCCCGTGAACCACGAATACGGCTACCAATTCCAAATGGTCCAATATACTCATAACGACTCGTAAGACTTGCCTTTTCGTCGGAATGATAGAGTCGTGAAGCAGTGGTCCAATTCCCTCCTTGAATACTCCTTGGAACACGAAGACGTCAGATTCCGGTATCCAAATCATTCCAAGAGCTCGTTCGTAAGTGGCCGTTTTGGGCTACTCAAAATACTTGGATGACTCCGCTTTCTGGTCCCCGACCCGTGAGAGTACCTCGGCTGAATTCGACAACCAGTTTCGTATAGTAAATCCGGCCTTGGAATGTACCATCTTGACCTGCTGTGCCAGCTCGACCACTTCCTCCTCAGTGTGCATGCTGTATAGGAAGTCATCAACGTAATGATTTTTAATTATTGCTTTGAGGGCAAGCGGATACTGTTCAGCAAACTCTTAAGCGTTCAGATTTTTGGCAAACTGAGCTACTGATTGTGAACAGGTAGCACCAAATATAGCAACGCCCATGACAAACACGTCATAGAGCTTTGATGGATCGTCCCGCCACAAGAACAATAACGCTGATTTGTCTTCCCATCTAATAAGGAGCTGATGGAACATCTCACGAATATCAGCACTGATAGCCACCTTGAACTGCCGAAAAGGACACAACACCGACGGTAGTGGAGAAAGAAGATCAGAGAGAATTTAATTACTGGCCTTGGACTTTCGCTGCAGCATCCCAAACTAATCTCACTTTATTTGGCTTCCTCGGATTAGTAACCACGTTCAAGGGCAGGAACCAGGTTCGATTAGGATCAAATTCACTGAGCTCTTGCGGACTAGCCTTCTGTACCCCTTAGGCTAATACTGCTGTATCTGATCCCGCACATTGTCGTA